CATGCAGAAATCCCAGTGATGCAGGACATAAACCCCTGCTGCAGTCTGGCAGATCAGAGTTTTGACAAAATTTGTGTGAAAAGAAGCTGTGGATGAAAAAAGGCATTTGGGGCCAGACTCAGTCACATGACACATGTCAAAGAAACCAATGCATTTGCTTTCTTATCTAGCTGAGTTCAGAAACTGAGCCTTGGGCTTTAATTAACACTCTGAGTGTGTGGCATTTGTTCTCTAATTAGATGGCAAGATGCTTAAAGGAGTGATGAACATTTTTTTCCCTTGTTATTTTACAAATTCCGTCTGTACTCAGAATTCAAAAGGAGATAAAAGCAGTGAAGTTGTTAATATTCTCCCTTGCGTTTATCGTTGAGAAAGAGACTTTTAACAGTTCTTTCTCTAGTAGCTTGAGAGAATGTCAACAGAAAATTATAGAACACCCCAGTGACAGGTCCTTCTGAATGCCTGAGCTCCCCTGGCAAAGACTGTGAATTGGGTGCTGAACACATCAGCCTAGAGAAACATCATCAAATAGGATGGTGTAGCTTTGCATCTGCTCATGGGGGAAAGTGAGAAGGGCCTGTGGAAGGGAAGAAGGTACTAGAAAGGAAAGCATGTCCTGAAACTGCCCCTCAGTTAGGAAATCAAGACTTCTGTGGAGATGAAGAAGGATGTTTGTAACACATCTTCAAGTACATCTCATCTTACAGTTTTGATATCCAGATGTACTGAGCATTGTACAGCAATATTCTCCCACCCCCTACTCCTGATGTCACTGCATCACATATTATGTAAATTCTGGTTTGTATTTGTCCTGCCCCAAGAAGAAAGGAACAGATGGAGGCATGTTTCTTCTAATTTACTGCCTGCTTTTTCACACACCCCCTCCACACCCTGAGGAAGATCTTTCTATAGAAGCTGAATAAAGAAAACTGTAGGTAGGCCCCTCACTCTCTGCCAAGCATCTGGCAGCCTTTGGAAATCCTCAACTCAGCCTCAGCTTTGCCAACTGCTTCCTCTGCAGGCAAATACTCTTCTCACCACCACACTGGGAGAAGAGCAGCGTTCCCACAGGTCAGGCTAAAGGAAAAGGAAAGGACATGTGATTTCATGTACCAGATCTTTCAGAACTGGGGATACAAACAATCTTGTCTCCAGCATCTGGAGCACATAGAGATTACTGAGACTGTCTTTGAAACAAGTATGATGATTCCCAATTCCCTGTCTTGATTGTAACTCAGGTTACAAATGAGTACTCGAATAATTGTCCTCAACTGCCTTAGGAGTCTACAAGCCCAAATCCTTTTCTTGGTTGCAGCAGAAACTGTGACTGTGGAAATACATAGAAAACTATACCACTGCCTGAGAAAGGTGAGGAAGATGTCCGCTGACATTAGTGGCTTTAGGCACTGCCATGCCCACAGGCTGCACACCCAACAGAACCACAGTCCTTTTGAAGGTCAGGGGGACACCTTCTGGGGAATTCAGCTGTTTTACAGAGACTGGTGTTTCAGATGGAGTTATTAGGGACAGCATTTTGAGGAGTGATAATCTCCACTCTTCTCTGTCAGTTGTTCCATTAGTCATCTCAGGCAGCTGCTCCCATGAAATGTAAAAAAACACCATTACATAAAAACTTGCCTGAGCAAACTAACTGGTAAGGAGACACAGCAACCATTACTGCACCCTCAGTATTGTTTTTACACTGGTAAATCATCAACTTCACCAGAGCTGCTCATGATTTGCTTGAGGACATAAAAAGCTTATTTTTTTTCAACAGAAGCACAGCAGATCTCTTACTTTTTTTTTTTTTTTTACATTCAAAATGTTGCACTTTAAATCTATTTATCACATTAAAATAAAAAGGCTTCCAGGAAAAGGCTGCCATTGACTAAATTTACAGCTCTCCCATACAGACACTTTAGGAACATTTTAGGTGAAATGGAAAGAAATGTCAATGAGATGTGTATCTGTAGGAGGGAATATTAGCTGTCAGTTGCCCCCCCCAATCTTGTATATCTTCAACAGAAAACAAGTATTTACTGTTGAAATGGAACAGAAACATTTTTGCAATGATTTTCATTTCAGCTTTTTGAAAGCCACAAACATAAGCTTTCAGGGACACCATAAAAGCACTTTGAAAAAGGGTTTAAAATATCCATTTTGAGTGTATTGTTTAGAACGGGCTATGAACTCACAGCCAGTTAACTGAAACATATTCCTCTTACATGAAATTTCCTGTGTACACAATCCAATCATACCTCCAGGACAAGATATACACTCAGTAATTAATCACAACATTACTCAGCCTTTTTGGTGTTTAGCACCTTCCTTCAGGCAACAAACTCCAGAGCTAGTGAGATAAACATCATACAGGAGCAGAAGAACAGGCAGGAGCCTGCAGAGGAACTGAAGGTGTTTCCTTTAGATGTTCCATTGCATTTACGTTCATAGCTGGGAGAAAAAAAAAACAACCACGAAACAAAGACCAAAACAGAAAGATTCTGTTTAAATCCATGTAGAGGACAAATATACTCTGCTGTGCTGACACCTGCTTCAGATTTAACAGTGTACACAAGGTATTTTCTCTGCACGCATTCAGACAGGAAGAGGGAACACAGTGGATGCATTTTTCACTGTATTGTATGAGGGCTTAGACAAATAATTCACCCTGACTTCAGATTAAATATACCAAGGACCACTTGCTCTTCCCTAATGTTAATGGCATGCCCTGACTGCATTCAAGACTTGTAGTGCCAGTCTTACTTCCCAGGAACACGTGCTATAGCTAAGCTAGCACTCAGTGCTATTGCTTACTCTCACATAAATCCCAGATCGCTCTAAGGTAGACCATGCAGTATTTATCCCCCTTTTCCAGTAATCAGGCCTTTTAGTAGGATATAATGGGCCTCCCTCTCCTCTCATGCAAGTCACATATTACTTCATTTAAGTCACTGCACAACTTTATTTTACATTAGTGTGAAGAGCTGATGGAAGAAGCTCTTTCTCTACCCCACTCAAACAGATGCAATTGATTGAGAGGAGATGCAAATCCAGCCAGGTACTGTTGAGATCTATATAGGAATGTCAGCTTAAGAGGAACCTGAAATCAGAAGTCACAGCTCTTGTAACTTTGGACTCTTGCAAGCAATAGTGTATCACTGCTCATACTTGGATAAATGTAGAATGGGACAAGCGTGGCCAGTGTGTTTTTGTAATTACAGGTAGATCAGTTTTTTGACATGAGATTTGCTTAAACGAAACCCCTTACTCTGAGCACTTTTCTTCCTTGGGAATACGAGTGTGTCTATCGGACTCTAGTTTTGCAACAGAGGTGCAATGTTTTGCAAATAGACATTTGCAAAGCATAAAATCAGTCTCAAAACTGATGACATTGGACGCAGACAATGGGAACTGTCTATCCAGAGTCTATCCAGCTGTTCTGCACACTTTCCAACCTAGTCTACCAGTGTGCTCACACTGCACCTCTTACGGCTCCTCAGTACAACCCTCAGTTTCCCACATGTTGGAGAGGCAGTAGTGTAGCTTTGGCATTCAGAGCCCTGCATCAATTGTACCTGGTGTTTATAGTCCTGGGGCAGGGAAAGATAAAGTCTGGCAAAACTGCATTTGAGCTGGGGCCAAGCTGCAGTACTGGAGCTGCCGGTGCTGTGCGTCTGGGTTCTGACCTTCATTTCAAAGCCTTATCATTGCATAAACCAGCTATGCTCTGGCAGTTTTGGGGTGTAGCTCGCCTTAAGCTAATAAAGGCTTTCAGATAACTTTGCTTAAAGACTTCAGTCAACACCGTATCAGGGTGGATAAATAGAATTAAGAATAAAATACTCTTAATTCAAAATGCAATCAGTTGCTCTGCAAAGTAAAGAAAATTATAATTCTTGCCTGCAGCATCCCTAAAGGCAGGGAACTTTGACTAAAAAGGAAATCTGACACTAATTCTTAAATAGACTTAAGGCCCAAGCCTCAGGCTACCAAAGAGGCTCCACAAAGAGCACAATGCAACCTCTCAGTTAACAGACAACAGGTTTGGGCTTATAAACTTGTGAGGCCAATTCTACTTGCATAGTGCTGTTAATTACAATTGATGCTAATGAAGTCAGTGAAACCAGTCAACATTAGATAGCAAATTTTTGCTTGGAAGGAAATCTTACATTCCTGAGAGACATTTGTCCTTACTACATCTATAATTCTGCAAAACATTTTTTACTGTTCAGTAAAAGGGGGATTATTGATCCCAAATAACTGCCTCTCCAAGCACTGAGGCCAACAAGTATTCTTGACTTCCACCTATGGTATATACTCAAAACCCCAAAATAGTCCATGACACTGTCTCTGACCCTGATTACACAAACAAGGAGAACAGCATCATTGCCCTAACTGCATGTGTGATGAATCTGCCGGTGTTCTTCGACTGTGTTTTTATTGCTTCCAAATTTACTGCTGACAGATCAGATACCTTGTTTGCTCAGACCTATGTCTTGTGGATTCATTTCAGTTCTGTTTGCTAGCTTCTGTATTTGGAAAGCTCTGCAGCCACTCACTTTTTTCAATGAGAGGTCCATTCTTGTCACAATCTTCTACTGCGCCGCTTATTAATAATATCACAAATTATCCATGCTGCAATTAGTACTGCTACTCATTGTGCATGACTTGGCATTTATTCACTGAATTGTCATAGAACAGTCAATGGTCTCACCTTTCTTTTTGCAAATGCATCAGTCTGTGACTGGAGTATCCACAAACAGCTACCTACTGTCCATTTACACGATTACAAAATCCCATTTCTGAAAAGGTTGTCTTTTAAAAACCACTAGAAATAAAAATGTACCACATTTTCCTGTCTGCTTTCTTGTGGGAGGGAGCAAAAAAGGGGGTAACATTAAGAGCTTAATCAGAAATCAACTGTATTCCAGTTATGAGCACCAAACAAAGCAGCAGGAATATCTCTTGTTACCAGACTAACAATTGATTCTTTATCACAGATCTACTATTATTCAGAAGGCCAGTCTTACTCCTATGGAGAGTTTAAGAACAGGATAACAGCTGCAACAGGTCCAGGGAATGCATCAATAACAATCTCCAACATGCAGCCCTCAGACACTGGTTCCTACACCTGTGAAGTTTTCAGCCCACAGGGTGATGCTGGACAGAGTCAAAAATCTGTGATTGTCAATGTGCTGGGTAAGCACCTCTCCTCTCTATTGCTGTACTGTCCTTTTCCTCCCTTATGAAACACTGAATTCACAGCTCAATATACTTAGGACCAGAGGGAATAACAGAACTGTGATAAACAAGGCCCATGATGCAGAGAAGGGGCTCACAGATGCATTGATGCAGAGATTTTCCAAGGGCTCTGGAAGCAGGCAAAGCCTGGGGTGCCCTCTAGCTTCCAGACAAAGCAGACTTGATAATCCCTCGGCAGCTCCCCTTGCTTGACCTACAGTAAAACCCCATTATACCACAAGTGGAATTCACTTCAGATTCACTTTGTGCTCTCAAAATGCTACCTCATGTCATCAGGTAAGCAGGTAGCTGGAATTACACAGCTTCACTACATTCTTCATATTGGAAAACAAAGTGATATTAACTTTGATTAAAATAAAAAGCCCTTTCAGCTGGGAGTGACAACTTATTTCTCCTATGAGGAATGGCTGAGAGAGTTGGGGTTGTTCAGCCTGGAGAAAAGGAGACTCTGGGGAGACCTTATTGCGGCCTTTCTGTTCTTAAAAGGGGCCTGTAAGAAAGATTGGGAGAGACTTTTTAGCAGCGCCTGTTGCAACAGAACAAGGGGTGATGGTTTTAAACTAAAAGAGCGGAGATTCTAGCTGGATGTGAGGAAAAATTCTTTACAATGAGGGTGGTAAAATACTGGAACAGGTTGCCCAGAGAGGTGGTGGATGCACCATCCAGGGAGACATTCAAGGCCAGGCTGGATGTGGCTCTGGGCAACCTGATCTAGATGCAGATGTCCCTGCTCATTGTAGGGGGGTTGGAGATGCAATGATGACCTTTGAAGATCCCTTCCAACCCAGATTATTCTATGATTCTGTGATTCTATGATTACAGTCAGCCCCAGCAAAGACCAAAATTTCACTCATTTTACCTAATGTTGGTCATGGTGAATTGTGTAAATCTAGGGGGAGGCAGCATTACAGCCCAAGGGATCTGGCTCACCCCAATTCCCAGAAACTCTAGAAACTTAGTACAGGTTGGGTGGAAGTAGTACAAAGTCTGTTTTGGATGGAAGAAAGCAATAGTTCAACCACGAACAGGACAGAAAGGATGAAAAGCAGTAGACATGTTACTTAGTAAGATAAAAGTTTGTACTAACCTATTCTAATAATTGCTTTTGTATTGAGAATTCATACCTGATCAGAGTGACAAATCAAAGCCAATATAAGAATGTGATTCCAATATCATTTGCCTATCTATTAAAAGGTATCTTAGGCCATGTATATATGTATATATACTTAATAATACTCAAATGGTTATGGGAGAGCCTTTGGTCAGATCTATGAACTCTGCTCTTGGATGGGAACCTGTAGATGGAGTTCAATTTTACATGTACAATACCAGAACTAACTTCCTCTCAGTATATACTCATGCCCCTCTCTTGCCCCTTGGTACGTACCCATGATGTGTCTGTTCTCCTTGTTGTTATTTTACAGTAAAACCATCAACACCTTTCTGCAAAATAGAAGGAACTCCTGAAAAAGGCCATCTAGTCTACCTTTTATGCAGATGTGAGGAAGGATTGCCTCACCCTACCTACCGCTGGTACAAAGTAGCTGACAATACCCTAAAGCCTGTGACTGAACAGCTCAGTACGTAAGACACAACCACTATACCATGTTCAAAATGTGGAGTTCCTTAGCACCAGTCATTTCTAACACTACGTATTACACATAGCAGTTAAACCTTATCCTCTTCTGATGGTCAATGTCATAAAACCATTATTTTTGCTTAATTCAAATCAACTGATAGCTGTCACAAACACAAAGTTTCTTTCTATTTAACACGAATTTCATGGCATGTTAAAGTCTTGCCTATGCCATTATTTTAAATTGCTAAAATGGGGGAAATGTTTATGCCATTTCCATTTCCCTTCCCTCAGAAATTTAAGTCAACTTAGAATAGTCTATTTGTTATTCAGGTGCTAAGACTTCCACCCTGAAGGTCTTCAGTTCCTGTGGCATTTTCATCTGTGAAGTTACACTGACAACAGTAGTGCGGGTAAAACATCAGGCAGACAGAGTCTATTACAGAGTAAGGGCCTATTTCCCATGTTCTAATACACACCTACAGAAGCTACTCTAGTAATTTTCAAGGAAGGTAAATGCTTCTTATTTAAAGAATATGAAACTCCCCAAATGAATGCATAATCAGAGAACCCTGTTTCTAATTTCTTAATAGCTCTTAGTAAGACCAACTAAAGAAAATGGATGGCCTCTACAGTACATAAACAGTAATCAGTCTCTGCTCTCTGTTTGTCACAGATCCAAACACTGGCATTCTTTACATTGGCAATCTCACCACCTTTGAAACTGGGTATTATCGGTGCGTAGCCAGTAACATCCTGGGGAACAGTACCTGTGAGCTTGACCTAACTACGAACTGTAAGTTTCATGCATGAAAGTAATCCCATAGCCGATGTAAGACATACACAGTTTGCAGGAAAATGCTGTGACAACTTTAAAGTATAGATTTTTTTTCAAGTAAGAACAGAATGGGCTTTGGAGCCCTCTGGAGTTTTCATCCAGGTATGCCCAGAATTTATACTGACCTGGACAAATGATTTCATACTGGGAGCAGGAGCTGAACCTCAATCTGACTGCAGAGCCTTTACTGAGAACCAACAGACACTGAATTTAGAGCAGGCATAAACATCGGGTTTGCTGGGGCAGGGAGCTTAGCAACAAAACAGGAGGCAGCAAAGGTCATAAAAGCACATTTCTCTTTCCTAGCGCATCTTTGGCTTCCCTCCTGGAAATCCAGCTGTCAGTCAGTTGATCAGTTCTCTGAATCCAATGCCTTCTTTCCACTAAAGGCTCCTCTAAATTTCCATGGGATTTTGCTAGTAATACTTTTTTTAAAAGTATTTATATATCAAGTAATCCTTTCTTCTTTGCAGATTCAGACGGCGGCATTGTTGCTGGAGCATTAATTGGAGCAGTTCTTGCAGCTACTATCATTTGCATTATTGTTTGGGTCTTAAGCAAGAAGGCAAAAAAGACTAAGAAGACATCAAGTAACGAGATGCAGTAAGAGTTTTGTTTGCTTCATTTTAAGACAATTATGTCTGTAAAGCACTGCTAATAATTCAGCACTGAGGTAAAATATAATTACTCTAATCATTTTTGAAGGGTCAATAATGCAGGTTTTGGGAAAACTTCCAGAGTGAAAATATTTGCTTTTGTGTGACTTTTAAGCTGTTGCTCTTGTAAGAGACATTGCCACTACCCTCTTCCATATATTTATAGGCAGCTACCACTTAGCAGTATCTAAACTAGTAAAATGTTTTTTAAACCCTGCAAACTAAACGTGGCAAGTTGGAAAAAACAGTTTTTAATATTTAAAAGTTAATGGTGACTGCTAATGGCAGGTGGAGGAAGTAAAGAAAGGAACGGAAGCTAAAGGTTGCCACAGCAAATGTACTGGGATTGTGCATTACTGGATTTAAACACAGCGGGCTCAATTCAGTGCTATTTGAAATTACAGGACACATGCTTGGGGTGCTCTAAGGTGTCTCAAATGGCAAGAGATACAAGGTTTAGGCAACAGAATGGAGCCCAGAATATCCATTTTGCTTCTGCTCTGAAAATGTCTTTTCCTCTGTGCTTTGGTTGCTCATTTTTTCCTTGAATTGCCAATTCTTCAGAATAGGGATGATCTCATATGCTACACAGACTGTGTTTAGCCCCATGATGTTAAATGCTAAATGAATACATACAGCTGAGGACAGAAAAAAAATGTATTTGTCATCTGGACCCTTCCCTGTAGCACAGGTCTAAGACCTCCTGATGCAGAATTCCGCTAATCCACACCAATGGCGTGTCACTCACACACCTGATTTCTGCTTTCAACTGATGTACATTAACATCTAACTGTGTGCTCAGATCCTAATAAATCTCACTTCATTAAACTAACTCACTAGCATCTGATCTTTTTTACATGTGAAAATGCTTAAATATCAGGGCTTGGTTTATTATTTCGATGAGATAAATGGAATCTATACCTGTTGCTAAAAATCTTTCTCTAGATTTTAGCTTTTTCATAACTCTTTTTTTGACTGCACTCTATTTTTATACACTTAATGGGACACGGGATCTGCATGGAATTTCACAGAAAGCTCATACCAAGCAGTGTATTCTGCAACCTCTCCTCAGACTGTTTGCCAGCACTCAGTTTCCTATTCTGCTTTCCTGGTGTAGCATTTAAATATACTAAAATCCAGTTCATTCTAACAGGATCACTTAAGCAATGACGCAAATCAGTCTCATTATCTAACACATTGTCACTCTTTCTCTCTTAGCATCAGTGATGTTGTAGCCTTTTTATGTCGCTTGGAACAATCATAATAATATGGGGGTTACTTTAAGACAACAAAACCACAAAGACTCATTCTTTTGAAAGAATCTAGTGTAGATGGGATTTCAACATGTGAAATCACACTTCATCCTGTCTTCCTGCAGAGAAATGGCTCAGAAACAATCCAATGCAGAGTATGTTCAGGTACCTAACGAAGAAAACATTCCTCCAACCACAGTTCCACCAAGCAACGCAACAAATGAATACCCTAGTGTTGATGAAACAGCAGCCTCTGGAACACTTCAGAATGATGAGAAGCAAGAAGCAGAAAAAGAAGAAACAGCCTAGTTTTAATACAGTTTTCCATGTCAGCTTTGGACCCCTTTATATAAAAATTGTTGTCATTGAAATAACATAGAGGCATGACTAAAACTTAGATGGGTATTTGTATTGTGAACCGCTGTGCTGCAGATTGAAAAGGGTCTGTTACACATGCACTTTGTGAATAGGTGAAGATTTGGCCTTTAGAGTTAACAAAATTTCATTTATTATCTGGTTATAATTGTACATAAATATAAGTCTAAAAAGACTACCAGTCTTTTATCAGTCTAAAAGACTATTTTGCAACGTATTTTGCAAAACTAATTATGAAATGGGCTGGAGCATTTATCAAAGTAAAAGCTTTCCAGTCACCTCTCAGTGATGCTGTATGATCTATACAGATCTGAACCACCGCAGTCTTCTCCAGAAACAGTGTTAGCCAAACTCATGTTTCCTGTGCACCAAGGACAATCATCATGGCCAATACACTGCAGTGTTTAAAGGCTCTGACTTTGCACATCAGAAGTAAAAAGAAGTTTCATCAATGTCCATCAGAGTGCAGAAACAGATGTTAAGACCTGGAACAATGATATCTATTGTGTTTGGATTCCACTTACAGGAAAAAAAAAAAAAAAGGCCTGGAAACTTCTACCCTGCTGCTGCCAGATGTGGAATACATTTTGTTAACAGTTTTAAAGTTCCCAAGGCACCAGCATTCCAGAGTTGTGTGTTTCAGCAGTTTTCATTTTCAGTTTAATGGAACTAACATTCAGGTACTCAGTTCAGACATCAATTGACTGGTTTCCAGACAACAGGACCTGGAAATCTAAATCCCTTACAAGGCTTGTTATGACAGGCACAGAATATCAGATTCCTCTTGATACACAGATAGAGCTGTTTTAAAAACTTGGAAATTAATACTGCTTGCTGTACAGCACACTAGTTTTTACTGCTTCCTCTGCCAGAGATGATTTAAATCTATCTCCAGGCAACTGGTCTACCAACTAAGCAACAAACTCATGCTACTTCCAGTCTCTTTAGCTCAGTGTAACTGACTGTTTTCTATAGGTGAAGGCATCAAGAGGAAGGTTAAGTAGTGCATGCACACCACATCTAACAGCTGAGTGATGAGCATTCTCTTGGAGGGAGAAAAGGAAATTGAACCCTAAACACTGATCACTAGACACCTCTTCTCTCTGGGCCTCGTTTCTAAGGTTAAGCAAACTCAGTTCTTCAAGTGGGAAAAATACCTACTTTCAGAAGAGCTCAAGGACTTGAGTGAGAAGTAAAAACCCACACACAGCCTCAACAGCTCCCTCCTGAACTACATGAGGCAGCTATTCATCAACACAAGGAGGCAGAGGTTTCAGTCTCATGCACTGCAGAAAAATATATCTGGCTCAGGGATCCACAACTTTTTGGCACTTAGGTCTTTTACAGGATCTAATGCTTACAAATCCTTTGGTGACTGTTCCTAGTCTGTAGTAAACATTAGTTACATACGTCAGCCATCTCTGAATAGACAAAAGGAAATATCTGTGCTAAAACTGTCAGGTTCAGCTCAGCTGTTTATCAAGAAAATGACCACAAAAAAGGGAAAAAAAAAGAAAAAAGGCCTGAGGTTCGAATTAACCTTCAGTTTGGGTCATAAAGCATAACTATATTCATCACCCTTTCTATGCAGTTTTCTGGCTTTCAAATATTTGCCTTTGATACATACATCCTAGCATTTAGCCTCAGTCCAGAGTAAAAGAGCATTTCCAGTGTTCTTATAATACTGTTTTAGTTAAAAAACTGCTTCTGCCTGACTGCAAGGGTCAAACCCTTACTAATACCAACACTGCCATATTTTACCAGTTGATTTTCATAATCCTCCCTCCTCAAAATAGCCAGGGTAAACCTTAAGTCATGACCTGTACAGAAGTCTCTCCTTAACCTCTCTCATTGACTCTCGTAGCAATTGTGCTAAGCAAGATCAACAAAATCACATCCTTCAAACTGGGTTTAGAAGCTTACTGAGAATTTCTGATATTCACACCCAAAGTTTTGTAAGCATGCAGAACTGGACATTAAGCATGCTGAGTAAACAGCAAGAGAAGAGTAAGTGCTACGCACTCTGGTTTGGGTGCCATTCCTTACCAAATGTGTTCCTTAACGAGGTAATTCAAATCAGTTACTGGTCCAAGGGAGCCATGAGTTGGCTGACAGTGGCATTTATTTTAAATCTTTTCTTCTCTGACACTCTTGGCATTCTTTTACTCTTGCCCTTTATAGGAAAATATAAACAAACCTCTTCACAACACTGCTGTAGTTGTATTACTTCTTCTAAAGTAATCTCCTATATGTGTACATCTTAGTTATATTTCTCTTGCTACAACAGTTTTCAAACTTTTACTTTCTGCACCAGCACTATGTGATTGAGGAGAGGAATATGTTATGTGGTCATTATAATAATTTTTACATCTTTCCTTAATCTCACCTCCATAAATTTCTCTGCATGCATTCCTTAGATAACTTGCTACAGTAAGACATGAGCTTATGCTGGAGAAGTTGTAATTACTTTCTACAGAAAACAGAATCTTCCTAGAACACCGCAGGTCATACATTTGCTAAAAAAGTAGATATTGCTCATGTTGTTTTGATATAAGAAAGAACAACTGAACATGAGCTCTAGACTAATAATTCCTCTAACTTCTAACCACCTCTCATACACATGACACTTGTGTGTAACAGATAGATTTACTCTTTTTTTTTCTGTTTTCTTCTTTTTAATACTAATTGCTGGGGGTGAGGAGGAAGGTAAGAAAATTAACATTTATTTGGACTTTCTTAATACATTGAGATATTTTTGTAAGCCTTCTGGCAGATGTTTGTTCCCATTATGAAATTTCTCTCATGTGAAATAGTTTATGAAAAAGGATGAGGCACTTTCCTAGCTTTCCACTGGTGCTCTTGGCAAAGCACAAGCTAAATTAGGCACTGATCCCTGGTGTGTAGCTCAAAAGCCCTGCAGAGCTATGTAGGATGGAGAAGTATGTTTTAGAATTTGCCTCAGATGTTCCAACACTCTTTGCTGCATGGCCCATTTATCTGCTCCTGAGGGAGTAGGGATCATTAATATGGAAACTAGATATTAAGCCAACATTCAAGCCACTATCTCCTAGGGAAGTGGATCTACAAAGCCATAGAGCTATGGCAGGGTTTTGCTATACAAACACCAAGGATGAACACAGAATACCAACTTCAGCTTTTCTCAATTCAAGTTTTCAGCAATGCCTGCACAACGTATAAGAAACATATACTCAGTCAGGTTCCTCCTTAAAGTAAGGTCTGCATGGTCAGCGCTTACTGTACAGGCAAGTTACCCCTCATGTTCTCAAGAGGTGAGATTTAACCTGCATTTGTGCTCTAGAATAAATTTGTGTAAGTACTTGGTGAAGATATTTGTTTGGTTGTAAGTTTCTGTCTTGCTTATCAAGATAAATTGCATTACCTTAATCCCTACAAGTCAAACTGTAGAAACTGTCATCTTCCATTTCTACCTTTCCTTGCAGCTGAAGAACAAACAGTATTTCCATACTGTGGAATGGATGGCAGCGTTTCATCTGACTTGTTGTTCGCATCCCAAGTGTACAAGCTATTTAGAAAATATTGGTTTTGTTATATGTATGTTTAATAAAGTTTTATAACACCAAAGACAGCTGTTTAAGAAAGATCTTTATTTAACAGAATTTCATCAGCTTCGTTTGTTTAGAAAGAGGAAAGCTATCCCACTCGTGTCAAAAGTGATCTGATCAATATTAGAAGAGAAGGTCACTTTTCAGACTCAGTATCACTAGCTCTGCTTTCTAATAATACCAGGATTTGCTATGAGTAAATAGCAGTTAAACCAAGCTTCTGTTATAAAATAAGATGATAAACTGCTATAAGTGCTACATAATGGGAGTCAAACAGAACAGAAAAAGAAATCTACAGATGGAGCAAGAGAAAACTAAATTAGATTCTAAGTACATCTCAGAGAAGTATTCAGAACCATCCATTATATGACAATATATTTGCAGAGGTAACCCTGAAGCTGTGCCTGCATTTCACAAGCAGTCCAGTGCACATTCAAAGTTTCAAAGAAACAGAATAAAAACAGGAAACAACAGAAAGACCTTAAACACCCAGAGCTCACTTGAATAGACTGAGAAGAGTAAACACAGATACAATCCAAATAACTGAGCAAACTGCATTCTACAAAGGGAGAGGTGTAGTTTAGAATCATCTGAAGGAAGAGAACCAATACCCACAAAAACCAAACCACACACAAACCACAAAGGCTAAAGCAAAAAGCAAAGACTCTAGAATAAGCTTCCAAAGTAAAACTGACTTTAAATGGTTAAAGTGTTTTTGGTCCTGTTGCTTAAAAAAAATAATCCTAATCTAGGTTCTGAATTAAAAGGAACATCTGCATTTATACAGATTATACTGTAAAGTGAAACAAAACTGCAAGATATTGAAAAACACTTTAAAAACAGTGAACTGTTCAATTAACAGGAAGTACAAACAGTTGTTTTGGCACTGTACTGGAAAGAAAGCTACAGATACACATTTTATTACCATGCTGATGCCCACACACGACATCCTAGTTAAACTGTCAAAATACAAAGTTTGCAGACCTACATACAAATGCAACAGGAAAGACTCAAGCCCCAAGTCTCCACTAGCCTTCCACCATTCTTTTAAGTATGGCTCCCAGGCCACCCTTTGCCACTTTCAGTGGCGTCAGTTCTTCTTTATTCTCAATGTGAATACTTGCACCATGAGACACCAGCAGCTTTGCCTCCTCCACTCTCTCTTCATCACAGGCTAAATGACTGTAATAAGAACAAGAAACCCACAGGCACTATTAAACAGTCCAATCTTATAAACAGCAATAATTTTGCCTTGTCAAAATGACAGCATGAATGTTGGGGGGACGTACATTCTACAACAAGATCACACACAACCAACTACCTACACAGCTTCCAAAGCTCGCTGTCCAGTCACTCTGTTGTCATTAAGCAACTCAAGAACGCTCCTCCTGCTATTGCCCTTGCAACATGATGACAATTCTTTAGATTAGGATTTGGCTCTATAGTCAGCAAAGGTAAGGAGCACATAATCCACAGTGAAACTGGAAAATAGTAACCTCTGAATTGAAAGGGATAAACCAAATTGTACAATGCTTAAAAATAATCTGAAGTAAAGAGTTACTGAAAATGCAGCAAACACTTTTTTCCATTTGGCATAGCATTTTGAGAATAAACACGTGTGTGCCAGGACAGTGCTGGGTTTATGTATGGGTGAAACATACTGCTTGAACTTATTCATAGAAAATCTTGGTTCTGCTGTAGATAAGACACAGTTTTGCCACCAACTTCAAAGCAGCTAAGGTTTTACCCTTACACTTACAAACTGATCTCTAAGGTAATATCAAACACTGAACTGATTATACTTATACTGCAACTTAGTTTCCTTAGAGAGGTGAATTAGTTCTTGCTTGACAGGACAGAGTAAGCCAGCCTGAACGACCCATTTCCCCCGATTTTGATGTCATTAGCTCGCTTTCTACCATCTAGTGGCCACCGAACATACTGCAAACCATTGCAGAATGTGATCTACGCTTTGTAAGTAGATGTAGGAACACTTATAAAGTATGTATGTACATACAGACCTAGACAAAATACTACGCATGATTTTCTCTAATCCTTTTAATTAAAAAGGGGTGTGAAGCAAGGGAGTATTTTGAGGCAACAAGAAACTTTAAAAAATACACTGAAGTAATGGAGTTTAATTTCATAGATTATACTGTATTCAACAAAATGAAAATTAAAGGTTACTTACAGAGGAGTATTCCCTTCAGAGTCCCGTATATTAACCGCTGCATTATGCTGCAGGAGGATCTGTACCATTTTTAGGTTTCCTTTGGCTGCTGCTCTGTGTAATGGGGTGGATTCAAAATGATCCCTTGCATCTGGATCAGCTCCATTCTTTAAAAGCATGATTGCAATCTGAATAACCAGAAAGAGAAAGGAAGGGGGAAGAAGGAGGTAAAGCTGATACAACTAAACACTTCCAAGAGCAACACCACCTCCAGCAGCACAAGCACACATACCTCCTGCTTATTTTTGGAGGCAGCATAATGCAGAGGCGTGCAGCCGTTCTGATTGAGAGCATTCACATTAGCACCCCTGGCAATGAGCGCTCGCACAATGTCATCACGGCCTGCCGAGGCAGCAATGTGTAAGGGCGTCCAACCAGCCTGCAGAGCAAGGGGAAAACACGTTATTCAAACCAGGAGTTTCAGGCAAAACCAAGACAAAGCATAGCCCAAATACTGACTCGACTACTCCCTAGTCATACTGCACGTCTTTGTAACTGTAAAGCTAAACATTACTGCTTATCATCAGAGAGACAAGTCTCACATCCTCTCACAAGGCAGCACTCGATACCTAACAAAAGCTGCCAACTAAAGAACAAAAATCACTTCTGTTACACATGGTGTCTTGCAGGGAACATCACTCCTGCAGAATTAATAGTAGTGGATTTTTAATAACAAATAAGAGTGGCAGAAAAGGGTGCCCAAAAGTTTCTGCAATCTTTTCTATATCCTACCCTCTAATTAAACTGACAGAACAGTTTACTTCTTTAAGGGTGATCTTTAGGATACTTCATAGCAAATGCAATTCTTTCAACCCTTTCTCAAGAACAGTATCAGACAATCTCCTTTACTGTGAAAGGAATTGAACCTGTGGAATCTCTGAACCCACTACATATGCTGTAATGCCTTCCCCAGTAATGAGAAATCTTCAGGGTACCTCATATGCTTTGGCACAACATATTTAAGAGGATCACACTGAAATAAAGGTAACAGGAAAACTCCCAACAAGCACCCAAACGCTGCTGGTTCTGCAACTTTGTGCATAAGAATTCTTCTAAAATTCCTTGATGATAAACAAGACTTGTTAAGTTTCATTTCCCCCATTCCACATAAACTATGAGGGTGGTTAGGCCCTGGCACAGGGTGCCCAGAGAAGCTGTGGCTGCCCCATCCCTGGCAGTGTTCAAGGCCAGGTTGGACACAGGGGCTTGGAGCAAGCTGCTCTAGTGGAAGGTGTCCCTGTCCGTGGCAGGGGTTGGAACTGGATGAGCTTTAAGGTCCAACCCAAACTATTCTATGACTCTATGAAGCAGTGAAAGACCTGCTTTCCTAGTGCACACACAGTAGTATGTGCTTTCTAAAACCTCCCAGACACCACAGTGGATACACCAACTGACTGAAGAGGGAGCAAACCAAGGAAGCGACCAGTGCCAGTCGCCACCGGGAGCTGCCTGAGGGTCTTCTGTGGCTGACACCGTGAAGGAAATGGTCTGGACAGAAGCTGCAGATCCCAGCTCTTCACGCCAGCCCAACTCCCTCAGGCTCCCGGCAGCAGCCGCACACCAGGGTCCAGCTCCGCCCAGGGGTGGGGGATCCCGCGGCACTCACATCGTCTTTGTCGCCCACAGGCACACCAAGGCCGAGGAGGAGGTCGGCCACGTCCGTGTGTCCTGCCGAGCAGGCCCAGTGCAGCGCGGTGCGGTTGTCCTGAGGGAGAGAAGGAGGGAGCGGCGGTGAGCGGGAAGGTGAGGAGCGGGGGGCGGCTGACAGGGGCCGCTCGGCACGGAGAGGCCCCGCAGGCCGCCGCTCTCGGCCCGGAGGGCAGGGAGGGCCGCTGCCGGCTGACCTGGTCGGTCTTGGTGGCCAGGGCCTTGTCGCGCAGCAGCTGGGCCCGCAGCTCCTCCAGGCACCCGGCGTAGGCCAGGTTACAGACCCCCACGTCAGACACTGCTCCCTCCATGCTCACCGCTGCCTCAGCCTGCCAACAGGGGCAGAGCCCCGGCTCCATCGCCGGCCAATCAGAACAGCGCCGGGGCTAGCCCAGCCAATCGCACCTACCACCCTGCTCCTCTCTCCCCTTGGCTCGTCGGGGCTGCTGGGATTTGAAGTCCAACAGGCGGGACGCTGCGCGCTGCCGAGGGCCGTCGGGACTACACCTCCCGGGGAGCCCCGCGCCTCGGCCGTGTTGTGACTCCGTGTCGGGGCGAGGAGGAGGATGGTGACAGCGGGAGGATGGAGTCAGGTGAGGGGCGGCGGCGGGAGGCCGCGGAGGCGGCGAGGGCTGAGCGGGGCGCGGGCCTGGCTGTTGTGGCGGCGGTTGGCGGGGCAGGGGTGCTGGAGAGGGGCCGGCCCGCGCCCCTGGGGCTGAGGGGCGAGGTGGGGGTCGATGCTCTCCGTCGTGAGGGGTTTGCCTGGCGGTGGGGGCCAGGGCCCCGCGGCAGCTCCCGGGGCGGGGGCACAGAGGGGTTCTGAGAGCTGCGGTGCGTTGGGACTCGGCCGGGGCGGCCCGAGGCCGGTGTTGCCGCTGGCAGCGGCGGGAGGGAGGACGGCTCTGCGGGGGTAGCTCTGCGGGCCTCGGCCGCTGGGTGTGCGGGACTGGGAAGAGAAACTACGGGAGTGCTGTCCCGACGGCCGTGGAGCCGGGACGCAGCCCCCTCCTCTGGGTTTGGAGAGGTGAGAGTCTGTCTGGGGTCAAACTCAGGCAGTTTATCCTGTAAGTGCAATGAGTGGGGACTTTCTGACGGAGAAGACAGAGCCCCGTGTCAGAAGTTCTGCTCTATAAAGTGTCTTAAAGAAGTTGATGGTGGTTTTGAATAGCTGCCTATGGTAACGTGCAGAGGAGCTGCATCTCCAGTGCTTGGTAGCCCCGACTTGGGGCACCAATAGGCTGCTGTAGCTCAGCTTCACCTCCGGTTGCTATAATACATGTTTTTACATTAAATATGTTGTGTACCTTTGCCTGCTGATTATTCATTCTTTATACTGTGTGTGTGTGCACTTAATGTGAAGAGTAATAAAACATAATGGTGTTTGCTTTCACCTTCTGATTTTGCAGCAGTATATCCCTTAAGTTTGTTATCAAAAAGAAAGGATTTTACATTAATTTTTACACTTGAAGGCCTGTTTCACTGTTCCAGAAAACCCTGCTTTAATGATCTAAAAATAAATAAATAAATGATTGAACTGTCTTCTTTTAGTAATGCTAATTATAATTTGTTATTTTGCACTAAATAGACCTAGTGTTGAAGAACAGCAGTAATACATTTTTTTGGCCTGATGTGTTTCAAATCTCCAGTTAGGAAAGTAAACCCCAGCCTTCCTAACACTTTTCACATGCTTCTCATTAAGCACAAGGCCATAATCACTCTCAGTGGCAGTTTTTGTACATCTAGGATCAAGCATGTGCACATACGCTGTGATGCCTGAATTGTTTTTTCCTTTCCTTGTTTCCTTGAATCCAGTCTTGCTCTCACTGAAGTCATCCTCAATTTCTGCTGCTGGCGTCAGTCAGATGTTTATAACCGAGGTGTCAGCCATGGTATTCTCTCAGCACTTGCTGAGGATTGAAATAAAAACCACCAAAGACATTGGATATTTCAGTGTCGGAACAGCTTGTCAAGGAAAAAAGACTTAAATACAACTGTCAGCGCTGCTCAGAAGACCCAAAGGCTACAGCTAGTTGTGTCTGAGAACCCAAAGTTTTGCATGAAAGAACAAAGGGATAAAATGGAATTTGAATTGTGTGTATTCCTGTTCAGTTTTGTCTAGGTATGAAAACCAGATCACTATACTGTCAGACTACTTAGAAGAATTTCCAGAAACTGATGAGCCAGTGTGGATTCTGGGAAGGCAACACCACCTAAACACAGGTATCTTTAGAATGAAAATTATCTGTAAAATCTATAGGGCATTCATAGACCCACATGCAGCAACAGCAGCTCCTGATTTCCTTACATTCTCTAAATGCCTCAAGAGAGTTTTTCTCCACCAACAAAAGCCAACTATAAGCAGCAGTATGCATTGTGTAATCAAACTGGAAGTTTACCAATGTACTTTCTACCATAATTCATGCAAAGAGATTGTACTTGTAGCAAACATTAGTTGGGTCACCTCTTGACATCAGATGCCTCAGAAATAGATAAAGGAATAAGTTTGGGAGAATGTTCAGTGTAACTAATGTTATTTTCTCTTGAGAGATGCTACCTGCAGCCTGTAACTTGCAACTGAGGTGGTATTTCAAAAGGATAATAATAATATATAAATCTATGTCCCATGCTGTATTTTGATGAAAATAAACTGATGACCTAAAAGTCATAGCAGATATTTGTATATCATATAAAACAAAGATTTCAGAAATGAGCTTTGCTCCTTGGAGAGCAGGCAGGGGCATCTCCTGTGTGGCATATTGGAGGCAGTGGCCATCGATGCAGGGCTGGTGTTCAGGACAGCCCAGGGCACCATGTACAGCCTCCATTGGCTGAAGGATGCCTTGGAAAGGCCACTGTGTCTGAGCCACAGCCCAGAGAAAATCCAGCAAATAAGGTTGTTAAGAGTTGTTCAGAGCCTTTGGGAGAATTGTGTAAGTGCATGTGTTTAAAAAAAAAAAAAATAATAAAAAAGAGAGATTTAATTACATTTCATATTATGAACCTTTTCTTAAAGAGGTTTTGTATTGGGTTTGAAGGTAATGCATAAATCCATGTTGGTTTGTGTGTAGAAATTCTTTGCCTTTCTGAACTTGCTTTACCAGTTCTTTCCTGAGGACGTAGTTCTCCCTAGTTGTTTCATTCAAGATGGACATAGTCATTCCAGACACCTTGGAAAACTTCATTGGCTAATATTTATTTCATCCTTAATAAGGTAATTTTAATTAGCAGTCTGCAAAAGCTCTCTCTGTTTAAACAGCCAAAAATAGTTTAAGGGTCTTATATGTGAAAGCTAGCAGGAGTCTTTCATGCAATCTATATATTGACTGTACAAGGAAATTATAATTTTTCAGGTTTAAAAATCCATTTTAATAATTTCTTTCCTCTTAAAAATATTCCAGACAAATCTAAGTTATTGTTGGATATAAGTGCTCGTCTCTGGTTTACATATAGAAGAAAGTTTTCGCCTATTGGTGAGTATGCAGCAGAGCAGCTGCTTTGTTAGAAATTAGTGATGTTACCATGGACTGAAATATTATTTTTACAGTATTTGAGCATCATTTTAACTGTTTATGTAAATAAAATACTAAAGCTATTAACAGCTCTGTTTACTTGCACGTGCAAGTCATCAGGTCTTCACATCTGTCTAGCAAGCAGTAAAGTTAGACATAGAATCATAGAATAGTTAGGGTTGGAAAGGACCTTAAGATCATATAGTTCCAACCAGCAATATGGAAAGAGAAGGTCTTGCTCAGTACCTTCCATCTATAGCACAGTTGTTGGAGATTTTGACTCTGAAATTTTCTGTGGTGCTGCATTCATTTTAAAGCCCATATTGATCATAATGAACTTTTTTAATAGGAGGCACTGGTCCTTCATCTGATGCTGGCTGGGGATGTATGCTGCGATGTGGGCAGATGATGCTGGCACAAGCACTGATCTGCAGACACTTAGGAAGAGGTGAGTACTATTGAGGAGTAAACTTTTCAGTTGTTTGAAGACTGTTTAGTTTTTGTTGTAGTTTTCCATACAAGCCCAAACCTAAATTTATTAATGAAACTTTATTTGATGTCCTGAGAGAAGCTACTAGTGAATTATTCTTCTCTGACAGGGCAAAATCATGCCATCCTTTAGCAGAGAAATAGAAACAGAGAGAGAATAGGGAATCCCACTGTTGTTGTTTTATAACTTTTTGAGGAATGCCTGAGCTGAGGACAAGGGAAAACCTGCTACCATGGGTCTGAGCTCTTGCCCTTCTCTTCATTGCTTACATAGCCACCAAATATTCACACACAGCAATAGACACCACACTACGTATTCCACAGACCACTCCCCCACCACCAACCTGAGGTCCAAACCCAAAGGAGAACCCAAGCAAGCTCTTAAGCCCATATCAGCACCTCACATCCCAGAATCATGGGTAAGTGTCGTAGGTCTATCTGGTCTGTGTGTAGGTGCTGTGTCAATTGGATTCTTACAGTTAGGTCTGTAATCCTCATGCTATTGTGCTGTGGTTTCTATGGCAGCATGCTTTGTGGATTTATCCACTTGAATAACTGAATACATAGAACACAGGTGCAAAGATTTAACTGAAGGAGGAGGCAAACAAACAAATTACCTGAGAAAAAACAGGCTATGAACCTGTAGTATGTAGCTACTTCATAGTGTCAGCCCTATGTAAGTGCTTCTCCGTCAGTAAATGGGAGGTAACTACCTTATGTTGGAAGGAGGAGCACAGGTGGCAAAGCTATGTGATGAAAGATGTGGGAGATGGCCAGCGTTATTTGGACTTTGCCTTATGGATCTGATACCACTATCTTACAAATGCTTATGTTATGCTTATGAATCTAATAAAATCTAAATGGAGCATGTTGTTTTTCCAGCGCTCACAGAAGTTCGCATCCAGCAATAGCTCTCTTCTCTGCAGTGTTCACTCAGAACATACTTGCAGTTGACATTTTTATTTTATTTTCCCAGTTTTCACAATCTAGCCTGTGATGATAAGGGCAGTTTAATAATAAATGACAAGATGTGACTTCTAGGGATTCTAAACAAAATGTAGAGATGGAGTCTACATTAGTCTTTTAATATCTCATTGTATGACTTTGTAGTAGCTAAAAACTTGATCAGGATGATGGGCAACATTATTTTTTAATCTGTATGACTTTTTTTTTTTCCTGTAAGATTGGCAATGGGAAAAACACAAAAAACAACCAGAAGAATATCATAGAATCTTACGGTGCTTTCTAGATAGAAAAGATTGTTGCTATTCCATCCACCAAATGGGTAAGAACACCTTTTCTTTTTTCCCATTGAAATGCCTGTGTTGAAACTTTCTAATTGAAAATGT